GCGACAACTGCACGAGTGACACCTTGAACGCGAACCTGTCGAGTTCTTCGAGTCATCGTTTAAAGATTCCTTGAAATTATAAAATGTAAATTTATTGGCTTACTTCTTTTAAATATATATTAAAAAAATCAAATGCGAAAAACCATACTTACCAAAAAATAAAGAAAAGTTGGAATAAAGATAGAATGAAGTTGCGAGATCCTCTATTTATTTTCAAAAAAAACAAAAGTTGGCCAATGAACAATCATCGACGATCATCATTACGTCATCGTAAATAACACATAAATACGTCATACCAAGTGATCTAGCTCTATTGAAATTATGAAAGAATAAGAGATTTATAAGAATTTATTAATAAATTGTGTATTTATGAAATCTAATTTTCTAGAAATCTAACAAATTTATGCATAATACTAAATTTTACACAAATAATGCAAACACATGTTCATATTCCAATATTTTATAACAAAGCAAGGGTTCTACAATTTAATTCACATTTGCACATTTAATGCAAAAACTTTGTCCTACTCAGTTTGTCGAAAATCATGTCTTGTTTAAAGATTAAATTCGCTAAAAATGATTGTGATTAAGTTTGCTGCGGAGAATTATGACCGCAGTTAAAGCTGAGAACAAAACGACACACAAAACAATGCATTATAATATATTCTCAGTCCAGTCTTTTTATAAGCTTTGCATTCAACTCATATGTTTAATATTAAAAGAAAGTATTTCAAACAAGAAAATCTGATGAGTAATTTACTATTAATAAAGAATCACTTTTAAATTTATTTAAGCTGTTAATGGATTTATTTGTATAATATTTTCCTTTCAGCAAAATTATTTAACAAAAATCAAATACTTAATGGTAATGTGATCTTTAAAGACACTAAGGTTGCAGGATAAAACCTTATTCCTATTTGGCAAAAATCGATGGTTTCGACAATTTTCGACGGTTTGATAATTTCGACGAATTTCAATAGATTTTAAAATTTCGACAATTTGACTAACAATTCGATTTAACTAAATTTGATTTGCTTAATTTTACCTCAATTTCGTAGTGTGATGATCCATTTTCATGTCTTATTATTAATATTTCAAACTACAATTGCTAGTTCCGTTTAATGAAACATTAAAATAACACCCATGGAAATTAAACTTTACAAACTTCCTATAAATGATAAAATAAAATAAATAGATACCGTAAACTTTCCTAAATTAGTAATTATTATTACTTAATTCCTCGCCATACCTTCTTTTTTAATAGATATAAAATTTTTAATTAGATTTCCTTCCGTAACAAGGGACCTTCCTTCTATCATCCATTTCTTTCATATGTTTATAACAAGAATAACTTCTTCATAAATATGTTGATTGTAAATAGTGGTTCTAGTTGTATAATGGATTCTACGTCTGTTTATATATTATTTGTTTTAAATAATAAAAGCGCTGTTGTAACAAATAAGCTTTTTTTTTGTTCAATTATAAGAAAAATGATTTTATGTGTAATTTAGACGCTATTAGTTATAAGGTTAAAATCTAAAAAAAAAATATATTTAATAATTTCTTTTAAATCCAGTCCATTAGATACATACTTGTTATTCCATACTTCGTTGCGGATTATGGGCTTACGCGCATGTGACTTATCTATATATCAAAAATATATGTTTTTTGGAATGTCGGTGAAATGTTCGTCGTTAGAACGTTTGTCGGCGAAATGAAAATGTCGGTGAAATAATCGTCGGTGAAACGTTTGTCGGTGAAATGTTCCTATCTGTAAAAGTTTGTCGTTGAAATAATGGTCGGTAAATTGTTTGTCGGTGAAATGAATGCGGCCCGGTGTTTTTAGGACTTTATTTTTATTTGTTACAAGTCTATAATTTTATCAAACTCTCATATTTTATAATGTATATACATATTTTTGCTAGATTATGTTTGATTGGATAGTTTTAGGTCGGACATTGGCATAATAAGTCTGCCGCGCCGATGTTTTTCCTTGTTCGGGATGACAAGTATATTCTGATCGGCTTTATAGTTTGAAAGGTCTTCAACGTTTCGAATTAAAGACTTGAGTTTTGTTATCTTACAACTCCTTGTTTTAATATCAAAAGTAATTTTACTAATAAAGACTTTTTAAATGAACATAATATTAAATTTAATAATTTATTTAGAAGTTAATTTTTATTTTGATCCTTAAATAATAATCGAGCAAGATTCAGAATAGTAAAATAAAATATTTTTCCATACTTTATAAACGAAATAAAGTCGAAAATTTTTTATATAATAATATTTTTTATGATTGTTTTTTAGAGAGTAGTTAATATTTAGCTAACGTGAATGATATCTATCATCATACTTTATTACGAGTTGCTCAGTAATGGTTGCTTTTGATTTATCGCGGAAGTATTTAATGAGTAAACAGGTCTTTAGAAAAGATTCCGGAGTTAATAAATATCAGATTAAGCGGGGCCTTTAATAGAAGGAAATGAAGTTAACTCCGCCATACGAAAGAAACGTGCGGAGAGTTATTAATTTTATTTTTTACTACGGAGCTGGATATTTCACTTATGCTTACATTCTGACCAAGCGTATGTCGTATATTAGTTACGAATTATAAATTTATTAAGAAATCAAATTATGCTAATTTTTCGCTCTCCGCACTAGTCAATATGATATTGAAACAATTCACGGCTATTTTTAATATGATGAATAAATTATACAATTTGATAGTTTGATAGCATAGGAGATTATGCTTATGTGCTTACATATAGAAAAAGAGAAAAATTAGTAGCAAGTATTCAAATAATTTGGTAGTAATATTGACTACTATTGTTGAACGGAAAAATTCCTCATTTAAAAATTTATACATTCTTGACGAAGAGGACATCATTTCCGGATCTATTATGTTTTGTAAAATTTATATAAAATGAATAAAGAAAAGTAGTAGAATTAATAAAGATTATATATTTATACATTAAACTCTCCGGGTATTTACAAAGTTATTAAAAATTAAAGAACTTCATATCTCTGATGTAAGTACCTAAGTTAAGATTCAAGTTATAAAGGTTTCTATTATATTAAATGAATTTTTGAACTCGTAAACGATTTTCTTACTCTATTTTTGATTTTAAGTAATTTAACTTTATCGCTATAAATAAATTAAAAAATATATGTAACGTTAAAATTTGGAGATGCTTTTATTATTTTTAAAAAAGTTGCATATGAGCTATAGATTATTGGTCGACTTTATTATTCCTGAAGTTTAGATTAAATTACAAATTTACTAATACTCATTCAATATATTTATATGCAATTTAAACGAACATCCGATTAAAATTAAAATTACATTTGGCAGTTTCGGTAATATTTTAACATTGAAATTAATTGACAGTTTATTATAATTTTTTAATTTAAATAATTATTGTTGAAATTTCAGAAGCATACTAGTTCGATTTATTGTATCTCCCATTTATTTAAACATATACATTTCAATTAGATCGAATTCAAGATTGTTATATTATTTTTTTCAATATTAAATGGAAAGTCAGTATTAAAATTATAAATGGTTATAAAACTCAGATTTATTTTTATAATGTGAATATGAATACATGCCAATACCAACCTAAGGAATGTAACTTAAGTATTGAAAATGAATTCATAGATAAATATAATATTTGCTTTAAAAACATATTTCATAAGATCCAATTAAAAATAAAAACACTACGAGTTCCTTTCAGTAAATACAATTTTTAAATCAATCGGCCTTAATAAAAAATTAGGCTCAAGCATCAATTTCTCTTTATGAATGCTATTTTCAGGAAGAGTCCATTTATACTTGAGCACTATAAAAAAATTGTAAATAAACTTTCACAACAGTTTATAAAAGTAATAAAGTGTTATACTTACAGCACATTGAAAGAATAACTTTTTGTTCCATCAAAGTAAAATTTTGACCGATACTACAAAATTTAAACGAGATTAATTGATGGGATAACGGTACATTAAACGAATTGTTTATTAATAGTGGTACATGCCAGTTTCGAGGTCCAGTGGAAAATGGAATCCAAGAAAATGGGTGTATTTTTTCACCATTTAAAAACCTGTCCGGGTTATATTGTTTGGGATTTTTCCAGTATTTTGGGTTATGATGAATTTGCCATAGATTGGCCGAACATATAACGTTTGCTGGTACGACATGAGAACCAATTTTAAGGGGCTTTGCTAGTTTTCGAGGGACAATTAATGTTGCTGGCGGATAAATTCGTAAGGATTCTTTAATTATTGCAATGAGATATTTCATTTCCTAGAAAGTGGGTGTGATTTTGCTTTATTTAAGTGATCTTTGCAAAATATGAAAAAACTGGTATATTTACCTCTAATTGTTCCGAAGTAGGTATGATCGGTTCGTTTCCAAGTATTTTAATTACCTCTTTTCGTGCTCTTTCTTGCATTTCCTACGCATTAACATTTTTTTTATTTTAATAAATATTATTGACTCAAAATAATAGCGATTTAATTATTTTATTTAATTATTGTAAACTTACCGGATATTTTGCAAGAAAGTAGAATGAGGTATTTAACCCCATTGAAGTTGCTATTCGATTGATGGTTGGTTATTATCATCATAATCATCATCAACGTATTAAAAAAAACAAAATATACTTACTGTCATGGCCTGCAACGATAAAACTCGCCATCTCATCTCTTAATTGTTTTAAATCGGTACTAATTCCTTCCCGGTTGCTAAGCTCTATCATACTTGTTACCAAGTCAATCCGACCATTCTCGGAACCTTTCTTATTTTCGATTGCATTTCTCTTTTCCATAATAATATCATAAATGAACTCATCAAATTCATCAATAGCTTTGAAGAATTTTCGATTATCTTCTGTTGGTAATTTATTTAACAATGGAAATACGAGACGTCGACCAGATTCTATGATCGAAATTATATATTTATAAACACTTATAATATGAGAAGTTTCGGATTTCAAGCACTAAAATTTGTTGATCGATGTTAAATCACGTGTTTGACCATATAAAATAAAAAATGAAATACTTGCACCAAATTGATATCCAAAAGCCAATTTTCCAAGCACTTCGATCGTGGTACGTTGCATCAGTTCAAATAAATCAATCTGTCCACTTGAATGTTGTTGTATAAAATCAAATTGTTCATATACAGTTTCCCCGACAATTTCAGGAGACAAAGCTTTATTGAATGCTGGAGTAGCTAATTTTCTATGAGCTCGCCATTTCTATCAAATGATTAATTTCTTCAGAATTAACTCGAAAATTTCTTAACAAATTTCAATTAGGAGCAAAATTTATGCATACGTCGCCATTCGATAAAGGCAGTCCGTTTCCGAAAAATTTAATAGCAATACTGTCGGGTGGTAAGTACTTGGGAGCATCATCCTCTGTAAAATAGTTAAAAGGTGTCTTTTCTTATTTTGAGTATTTAAAGAAATTCTTTACTAGTTACATTTAGTAAGTAATGCTTACCTGATGCCATATATAAATCTCTAAGACAATCAGGATTTGAGAAACCTAGTTGAGTCATATTGCCAAGACGAAACTAAAGGAAATAAATTATTAGGCATAATAATATAAATATAAATATTAAGATAGAACACGCAATAATTTTCAACGAATAATGTTTATGCTACATACAAGATAAATATCATGACCTCCGGATGATTTTGCGATCAAATCTTGAATTTCATCTTGATGCTTTTGTTGTAATAATGCCCATAATACAGGTAAGATAGAAATAAACGGAACATCTTCAAGTCCTTTTGGTTTTTTATAAGAATAAATGATAATAAGAAAAACTAAAATTAAAATGATGAAAGAGATTAAAAAGAGCATCATTATTATTTTATGTTTATATTTTATTTTTTTATTTTTTTTTTCTATAATTTGAGATTCCGATTTATATATATTAAAAATTTAAACATTTTTGGCATAAGATAAATTAAGTTTATAATAGGATTGAATGGATAATTATGGAACAAAGCATGATTAGCAATAAATTAAATTAATTTGTGGCACGTTAAAATTTCACCATATATGTATTGTTTCCCAATTTAGAACTTTTAATGTTCCGGTATATGAATAGTGGCTTTACAATACTGACAAAGGGAGACATTAAAATGGGAGATTTGTAAAATAAATTACTAAATCCAGTAAATTAACAATCCAACTTTTCCGATGAAGGTCGCACTGATCGTCATGCGTCAATGTAACACTAATATTTCAAGCTTGACAGATTTTAAATTTGTGAAAATTAAAATGATATTATAATGGCTTATAAGAATTACTTATTTTCAGTTTAAATAAGGATATACTCTCCTGTAGCACACTGAACATTCGTGTCATATCAACTATGATGATCATGTCGGCTTGTTCCGATTTTTAAATCTGTTATGAAACAAATTTCATTTTTACATGTTATTGACTGTGTCAAGTCGGTTATTACTTCTTAATATTATGGGACATTGAATGTTTATGTATATATTTATTTAAGAAATATCAAAATCTCCTCAAAAGCTCCAATTTTTTTTTAAAAAATAAAAAAATTAAAAAATCGTTTCTTTTAAAAATTTTTTAAATAATAATTAAACTAATTTCGATGTTTCTTTTAGATGTACATATATTTTTTATAATAATTGGTAAAAATATTTTATAAAACAATAATCTTTGTAGTTAAGTTTTTATAGTATAATTCCTTATGTAGTGATACAAATCAACCTCAGCCTAATTGACCCGACCGACCAAGCTAATCGAATACAGTCTGACCGCATAGACCATTATATTCTATACATAGTAATTGTTATTCCGATACTGCGTTATTATGTTCTAAAAAAAAATCTGTTTATATATTATTTATTCATGATTTTAATTAAATTATATTTTGATTTTTTTTAATAATAATTACACGCCATATATGATCATGATTATAAGCTATTAATAATAACAATGCAATATCGATATACATAATTTTTTATTATATACTATTATAAGTGATTAAGAATTATTATTTACCTTAGGTACGATGTTTTATCGTTCCTTAGGTTTAATGGTATTATCGTCCCTAAGGAGCGATAGTTTTACCTTAGGTACGATGGTTTTATCGTTCCATAGGTTTAATAATATGGAAAGTATTATCTTTTAAAAAAACCGAAAGTAAGGAATTATTTTCCATAAATTTACTTTCATTTATCGAAGTTTGTTGACAAAATTCTTATTTTGGTTATCTTGGTGAACTTTTTGCGATTCTACAGATTATAAAGATTGGTTAATTTTTATAAAAAAATGCATAAATTAAAATGATAAAATATAAACCTTGATAAAAAGAAAGAGCTGAGGTGAAATTTTTGATTTAATTGATTATCTAAAAATAAAAAAATAATAAATTTGTAATTTAATTAAAATTTAGAATAATTTATATTTACCGATTTTATTAGATTGTGTTACAGTACATTAGAAATAGCTTGTGTTAAATTTTTGAACTAATTTCTTGTAAAACTTCGTGAGATCATTCATATGATACTAATCCTTTAATAGTTTTGTGTCTTGATAAAGCCATAACTTCTGGATCTGAAGCCTATTTGACTTTAAAATTATAACACAGGTTTTTCGTCCTGAATGGTTACTAATAAAATGATTTTCAATATTGATTCTAGTAGATTTGCATATATCACTCATAAATGAATGAAAACGAATTTGTCCAATATGTGATTTCTTAAACCAGTTTCCATTCCATTTGTTATATTAAAAAAATAATAAAATTAGATTATAATAAAATTAAAAGAATAATAAAATATTTACCATATTCTAAAGGATTTGACTGTAAATAAAATTGCAAATCAGCATCATCTGGTCTTTTTTTTAAAGTAATTATCATAATCCTGTATTATATTAAGATCATCACCTGAGATATACAGAATATCAGCTTGTGCTTTAGATCGACTTATATTTCTCTGATTTGCTTTTGATTCATAAAAACATACAATAAAACCATCACCATTCTTTTTATTAAAATTTGATGCTAATAATTTATAATGCTTGCCTCCTATAAGCAATAAAAAAATTGCATTTCTAAAAAAGCCTGATATAATAACCCTTCTAGTGTAGATTTATCTAATCAAGGATGCTTAAAAATTATAGCAACTTAATTTGACTTAAAGAGAAGCAGCCTTTTATTCACCTAGTTTTTGCCTTGTAAGTTATTTAAATTTTTCATTAATTACTTGCTGAAATTTATAGAATTTCTCTTGATTTAATATATTTACTTAATAAATTACAGAATGTTTAAATAAATGTCATGCAATAGAATAAACTTCAACTTTGACTAGAGCTTCGAATCAGGTTAGATCAATCTGTTTACCTGATCCTGAAAATTCAGGTCAGGTTAATAGATTTTCAGATTGATGTCAGATCAGTTCAACAGGTTGACCCGACCCGATCTGACCTAATAAAAATTCAGGTCAACCAATCATTCTTCTTAAATAATTTATTATTGTTAAATTAGAAATAATAAAGTTGATTAAATAAATTAATAATTGTTTATTATATTATTATTTA